CACTTCGCAAAAAGTGTACTAATACCATAGTTTATCATATAGTAATTTATGGTTGCCAAGATGCATCTGTTGTGGAGATTTTTTTAATGGCCAAAAAGTCTCCTGATATTTCAAGTAAGAAAAATTGTCATGCTTTTGTTTAACCTTTGGTATTTGAGGAAGATTGAAAATAATCTTCACACTCATAAAAATTTAGAATCTACTAAAATGCATTGTAAATCCTGAAAGCATGGTCCTAGACTCTTGGTCCTCACATAAAGTGGAGAGAGGACCTGTGATCCATAGACCTCTCTAAGGAGAACTATCAAATATTACTCCATACATTCAAAATTTTAAAATCAAATAGCATGTTCAATTGGATATATTATGCAAGTATAAACAAGTAATCACCAGTTTTAAGAAAATGCCAGTGGGGGGGAGACAATGTTGAGAGTGCTTTTGACTGACATTTCTATACAGTGAATTAATAGTGAGTAATCTTGATCCACTTCATAGACCTCCCCAGGAGAGCCCTAAGAACATTTAAGGTCATGGGCCAAGAACTCAGATCCATAAACCTCCAGATTTTGATACTCATTGGAGAGGGGATAACAATACAGTTCTCATCCATCACTGTTGACAAATGGCCCCATAGGATCATACTTTCATTTAGAGAATTGAATTCAATATGTACTGAGTGCCCACTAGCTGGATCACTATTAAATGCTTTACCCTACTTTTATAAAATGCTGAAGGATGCACTAAACATGTTCACTTTTAGAAGAAAGTGGTACACCTAAAGATTGACTGAGCCGGTCAATAATAATAACAGGTTATTCATGACAGTAGCAATTTTGTTGATCTCATAGAACTATGTTGCAATCTTTTTCTAAAGATACAATTTTCCTGAACATAAATATTTGGAAGCATTTCCCTTGAATTAATGCTTGCCTTTTTGTTTTGAGTGCTTTACTTAACTTTTTAAAGATTTAATGTCTATGTAAATCTGTTATAATGTGAAGTTCTTCCTCTTTTAGTCATATTTGAACTCAGAAATTGAGGATTTCCACAGACGTTTAACAAGTAGTCCTTGTTTTCTGAAAGTTTTAATGAAATTAAGTGTTAAAATCTAACTCATTGATAAAATACAACTCTAAGTTTTGTGATATGTATCTCAGCTCTTACCACTTAGCTCACTTCGGGTCTCTATCTGCCTTAGGCTCTTAATCCCAAGTATCTTTATACTTTTTTGTTTTGTTTTGTTTTGTTTGCTCTGCCCAATTCTTAAATGTTGGTGTTTGTCAGAGATCTGTCTTGGCCCTTTTATCTCATTCTTGTACTTAGTACTGCTTCCTGTGCCCTCTTAGCTATATCAGTACATTCAATTACCCCTGGTGAAGCTTTGACTCCTAAACCTGTAGCTCCAGAGCCTACTACCTAAGCCAGAACCCCCAAAACAACCTTGATAATCAGATTCTGCTTTCTAGTTTAGTTCTACTCCTTCTGCCCTCCTCCGCATTCCTACTGCCATGCTCTGTGCTGATTTCTTCAGACAGCGGCATTTGCCATCGCACAGTCTTCCTGACTCCTATCTCAGCTCTCCTGATACCTTTTCATAACTCCAGGAGATTTTATTATCATCACAACATATTCTACAACTTCTCTGTCCAAAACTCTCCATTCATGGAGAGACCAATAAGCAATTACACATTGAAGATTATAAAAAAAATTCTGCAGGGGAGATCCAGAAAAAGGGACAGATATTTAATGAAGATTGAGGAGAAAACAAGTGAGGAATTGTGGTAACTGAAGATAAAAAGAAGCCAGGAGGTGATAAAGAAACAAATCCTTTAAGGATAAAGGTATAAGGACAGATAATAACACTTAACATGATGCTAAGACCATAGACTGGGCCAGGTATGTTAGGGAATTGATCATGTTAAAGTATGCTGTGATGCCGCCTCACAGGCTGCATTCTCCTGGTACATCTTGCCTCCTAAAATGACCTCATGCCCTTATTTCTGGTTTCCCTCCCCCCCAAGGCCACAGTGGTCCAGGAAAGTTGAAACCTGTGTCTGCAGGACTGGGCCCATAAAAGCAATCTGGCCTGTGATAGGTTAAAAGTAGCTCACTCCTCATAAATAAGCAATAGCCCACCCCAAAACTGATAAAAGGACCTTCCTTTCTTTGTTCTCTCTCTCCTTCTGCTTCTTCTTCCTCCTCTCTCTCTCTCTGCCTTCCTGCCTCCTGCTCGCCTCCCTACAATAAAGATCTCCTGCAGGACCTCTTGGTGTGTGAGTGGCCTAATTGGGAAGGGGCACCCGAAAGGGCACGCGAACCCCCTTTCAAGGTATTTTACCTGTAATAGCCTACTCAGTCTTCAACAACCATTTAAGCAGTTACTAGTATTAGCCCTATCTAATAGACAAGCAGTTGTGGCTTTAGCCATACTCCAAAAGGGTAGAAAACCAAATATTCTCTTCCCAAAGTCTGTGTTCTTTGCTACAGTTCAAACCAGTTCTTGTGGAAGAAGAAGAGGAGACAGTGTTCTCAGAAAGAGAAAAGGGAGATTTAGAGAGAGATGACAGTAGCTATCCAGTTATGTAGGCCATGAGCCTGCCAGTTACAAATCCAGGGTTTACACTAATGTGTTACCTTTGGAGTCACATTTCAAATTGACTTGACTCAATTTCAGCATTTGTAAAATGAATTATCACTACTTTTAATTTCTCCGCCATTCAGAAATCACTTGTACCTTTTAGAGGAGCACAGCATTACTAGAATGTATGATCAGATCAACTAGCCTGGCTCTCAAAGGATGAGAGAAACCTGTCATTCTACAAACACTTAGTATATTGTTCTTCTTGGAGTGGGAGAAGCTTAATTTCAGGATCCCTCAAGCTCTGTACTTCTAATAATCTGGGTACTGAGTCTGCTTTTCTTCTTCCCCCAACTTGTAAATCTATGTAAGAATATCTAAAGGGTTTGTGAAATAAGTTGCCAAATGCTCTATCCAATTTAAGCAGTAGCTTTGTTAAGCGTAGCTCAGGATCCTAAAAGCCAGGACAGGTAACTCAAAAGAAGAAACCTATTTAATGGGCATCATTGCCTGCTACTTTCATTCATTCCCTGAAAGGCTTAGATCAGAACCTTTCTTGGAAACAAACACAGCCCATGAATTATGAATTATTGTAGGGGTGAAATATAAGTGGCCTCTGCCTGCAAGGGCATCTATTTAATCCAGTTTTGTCTCCCATGCCTTCAACTTGCTCCTTCTAGTTGAAAGAAAATCTGTTGAGGAACTTGGACTTTATAAAAGAGTTAATATACAGATGTGGGGATTATCTTAATTTCTTTAGGAAAATATATTTTGATGAAATTGACACACAGGTACCTATAATGTTTCTATAGCAATTGTTATTAACCAGGGTCTCTTAAATCTAAAAAATAAAGCTTAGGTTATCAGTCACAAGAAACATTGACAATTCTCACTTTATATGTAGAGCCAATTTCTTTTCTGGTTTCCTTGCCCTAGTGACTTAAAATGATCACTCAGTGACTTGGGGCTTTTCCTTCTAAACTTGTTTGCTAGAAACAACTGCAATATATGCTGTAGCTCAGGGAAATGTTTTAACATTTGGGAAAAAGAGAATTACAAATGCGGCAGTTCTCCTTCCTCTTTTGGGAATCATCTGTAGTCTATTGAAAGTTAATAGAACCCACCCCACATCCTATTAGACTTTTGTCTCATAATGATATATACAAAACAGGCAAAAGCAATTTGCAGAAAGGTAGTGTCAACAATCTCAAAAGAAAATGTCGTAAAATAAACTGAATGACAGCTGAAAATTAGCTGTATTATGTAATGGATCAATATGGATTATAAAAGCAAAATAAATCTGAGCATTTGACAAGAAGTTAAAAACATTAGGAGATGAAAACATAATTTGTCATCCTAAAATCATTATGTAACTTAGTTCTCGAGGCTAAAGGAAAATGCAACTATCAAGTACTAGTGAAATTAGTCTATCTTTTGGGATAAAATGATATTAAAAGAGAAGGAGGAAACAAGCCTACAAAAGTCTGTTTATCATTACCTACATTCAAAACCACTTTAAATAAACTGCCAAGTACACTTTGTCCCCAAGCCCCTACCCTGAGGCCAGGAAGGCAGAAAAGTGTCTTTTTGAAGATTTAAATTTATTTCTAATGTTTGCCTGCAGGGTTGAGTTGAGGTTTTTCAAAAAAATGAAATTCTACAGCTGGTCTGTAGTAGGAAAGACTGCTAGGATTGATAATGTCTGTCATGAATATTTTGGGCTGGACAAGGAGAAAATATCTTCCTAACTTAAGTCTGAACACATTTTCAATACATGAATGAAATGTATGTATATTCTTTTACATGTCTCTTATTTTACATGGGTGAACAATTGATGGGTTATAAATAATGCAAAATTCACCTTTTGAGGACACTATTAAATTGCTTTTCAAGACAATATTAAATTGTTTTTCACAGTTGTACTAGTGCATGCTCCCACTGGTAATGAGGAATCTCAAATACAGTTTTTCCAGGGTCTTAAAATGATATTGATGGAAACAGATCTGGATGTAGGTAATTGGCTCCAGAGCCTGCTCTGCTCACAACTGCATTAACAGTGGCGGATACACATCCTATCCCCACTAAGGGGGAGAAACACGCTGAAGAGATGTTGGGTGTAGTTCTGGAGATCCCAGTGATAGAACCCCAGGTAGAAGTCTTGTGGCAATATGCAGAGCAATTTGAACAAAAACTGAAAGTTTATCACTGGAGCCTATCATAGAAAGAAAGGAAAATATTACTGGAAGTGCAATCATAGTTGAATGAATCCAGCTTTAGGGAACAAACTATGTACTTTCTATTTAACCATTTGGTTTCCATCCAAAAAAATAATTTGATTTGGAAAAAGAGAATATTTGTATCCCTCAAATTTTATACTTAGATTGAAGCTAATTAGTCCTCACAATGGAAAGGCAAAGCCTACCTCCAAAATCCTGTTCAAGAGGACATCTCTGGCTCATGGACTGGGTGGAAGGCATGGTTAGTTCTCCACCTGGGGATAAAATAGTTAGTTTGGTGAATCACATGCTTTTAGATATATCAGGTATGATCTTTAACTAGGCCTATACAAAGGAAATAAGTAAGAAAAACTATCATTGTGTCACCAGAAATGTATTAGCAATAGAAAATACAGGAGATTAAGTGTTAAGTAAAATTCCTCTCTATATTTTATACTTACACCTATCAACTTGTGTGTATTTTAGCTGAACTGGGACTTAAATCTCCTTTTACCCTGTACTAGATGGTCTCCCAATATCCTCTGCTGACCCAGTTTCTCCCCCTCTCTTCTTTTTGCTTTTGGTTCTCAGAATAACTCTAGAATGTGCTAGAAGTGCAATAGCTTGAGATAGAGAGGAGCTACTAGAAACAGCCTGAGCCTTATTCCCATCCCTTCTAGGGAATGTAACGTCCTGAGTTAGGGAGAAAATACCCTGCCCAGAGCATCCTGGGATTTTTTTCCCCTCCTCTGGAAGCCGATGTCCCTCAAAGTTTTACTGAGTGGCCATGTTGGCCCTGTGATGTATAATACATACAGCGATATACTTTCTGGGGCCCTCAGCTGTGATGCAAATGGGACACAGAATCCAGATCCCATACACCTTAGGCAGAAAATCACAGTGGATTTTCTGCTTCTTCTGCCCCTAATGCCTATTGGTAAGTAATAAATGATACATCTGTTTCATGTTACTTGTTGCATATGAGTGGATGTCTTCTCGCCAGACTCAGGCAACTGGTAAAACTACAGCCCAGGATGCAGTGGGTGGAAATGTTCAGACTCCTATTCCTGGTAGTTGGCATAGAGATGATCTTAGCTATCTATGACACAGTGGGAGTCCTCCCTTGGAATTGGTTCTTAGCACACCTGCTTCACACTCTGGAACAAAAATAAAAGCTAACGTTTTCTAACCTCCCTCCATGTGTGCAGCATTTTATAAGTTGCTTTTTTTGTGTTGGCTTGACTTTTACAATATTATAACATAGGATATAATATATAAGGAAATCATTTTATATTTAATGTGATTTAACTTTAGATTAGAACTTGATTTTTTGTGAAATATTCCAGAATTCTTAGTCTCTTGTAAAAATTTATATTTTTAGTTATGTATTATAACTATAATGACTATTTTCACTAAAATTGTTAAACACAGCATGTAAATATGTTACCTTACCGAAATAACAAAACTTTGCTAAGAATTTATACTTAGAAGTGAAATCAGAGGGAGGGTTACTATTTAAAGAGCTGTTTCCAAAAAATCTGCAATTTTGCTGACCTTTATTGTATCAAATTTCTTCCTTTGACATTCAGCCAGTGATGTATTTTGCTCTAGCTTGCATTTTATTTGCTTTAAATGGTATCATTTGGGCTCATCTTGCTTTAATCCAGCATCAACCACTTGTACATGCCCACAACTCTTGCTACTCTTAATGTGTGTGTGTGTGTGTGTGTGTGTGTGTGTCTGCATGTGTGCGCTAATGGATATAAAGCATCTCTTTCTTATTTCAAGTTATTGTTAGAGACAGTGTTATTAAACACATATCCAAGGAACTTTAAAAAAAAAAAACCAAACTTGGAAGCATGGCCACATAAAGGTTGTAATGGCAGCTCTTTCATCTCAAGCTCTCCAGTGCCCACCTCCTACTAATCAGTCATTACAGATCTGCCCTTTCCTCTTAGGCTACCTCTGCACAGGGAAATCTGGCACCCATTGCTTTGAAGCTGAGGTTCAATCTGTTATCGGTTTCATGCAATTTTATGCGCAAGCTCTATTAAAGTATTTTAGTCAGCTTTTGAATGCTTTTTTTCTCATATAGCTATTAGACAATACCCCAATTCCACTAATCACACAATGTCTTCTCTTTTACTATTAAGAAAGAGAAAAAAGAAATTCCAAGTATACCCAAAATACATAACAGCTCTGTTGTTTTGTTCAGAAATTTTGATTCTGACTCAAGTGACTCTCCACTCTGGAGCCAATGATAAATGAAATAAGGTGCCCATGTGAAATATGGTCATTTATCATCCATTAAGTAGGTTTCTATTCCAAGGGTTTTCATGAAAAGTATCAGTAATGGGGAGTAGGTGCAATTCTTCCTCTCAGCCTCCCTCTGCAAGCTTACCTAGGGCCCTGTGCTGTGATTTTGAGCCATAAGCATTACTTACCAATTAGCAAAGCAAACTGCACTCTAAAATGTGTAAAAGATCCTTAAGCTGGGCGAGATGCCCAGGAATAAAGCTTCTCTGACCTGTTACAACTTATGTTACTACCGTGAACTCTTCCCTTCAATTATTTAGGCTTTCCCCATATGCAGGCTGGGCTCCTGCTGACAGTAATGTGGAGCTCACTCATTAATCTTTTTTTGTCTTGTCCTCTGGCAGGGGGGAAGGGAGCAAAGCTTATAGATAAAAATAGAAGGCCACCTCTCTCTTTGATAAATAGGAGAAAACTCCCTGATGGGCAAGTAATTTTTCCACAAGCAATTCCTTCTGTAATTGTCGTGAAAAGAAGCCTTCAGTATAACAACATATATCTAAAATAATGATGATATAAATGGATACCAAATTAAAAGAAGTGCTTTGAAAATAATTATTTAAACATTAAATCCTCAGTTAGGCTGATAATTTCAGCCATAGACCATTGAATTACCTAAGCAATAACTGTTTGCAGCTCACTTTATGTGAAGAGTGACATTTGAGTTTTTATTATTTATATGCATGAAAAAAACTAATAGGCAAATAAAGTTGCATGTGTGTGTGTGTGTGTGTGTGTGTGTGTGTAAGTATTAGAAAAAAAACTATGTGGCTGAACCAACTTTCAAAGGTGTCTAGAAGATTGTCTCTGCACACATATTAAAGGTGTCCCAAAGTTTGTTTGTTTGTTTTAGAATTAGAAGCATTGTTAAGGGGAATCCAGTCTCATGTCTTCATTATATAAATGAAGAAGCAGAGACCAGAGGTCCTTTCTGACCCATGCTCCAAGTGTGGGCTGTTTCACTCTCTTAGGCCTTTGTGTCCGTTCAACCAGCTCCCTATGCCGGCTGAATATGCACCCTGGCCTCAAAAGGAAGTAGGGTAGTGCTACCTGATCATGCTTCCAAACCCTGCTTGACTGCACCAAAGTTTAATGGAGAAGTGCTACCCAAGCTTTTAGTTGAGGAGGCAAAATTTTAGAAGCATTCCAATTAACTTAGTTTTTCCAATCACAGTCTCTCATTTCTACAGAATAACACAATGAAAACAAAAACACTCACTTATTGATTCCAATATAGTGGCCTATGGATGGAAATCATCAGTGTTTGAATTTAGCTGATATATGCAAAGGGAGAATGGCTTGAGGGAGGTGGGCCCTTGACATCACACAGAAGAAGGTATAGGGGAAAGATTCGACAATCACCTGCTCCTTTCAAGGCACCATTTGTGTTGCAAGTTGCTTTAGTCTGTCTTCCTTCTTTTCCCATCCTTCCATCCATATTTTGTCCGATATGGCTGTTCTTTTCCTGTGCCCATTACTATCTTTTGCAAGATAGGACAGACAAAAATCTATGCATTCTGTAAATCTGCCTATTGTGTGGCCTAAATGAATAATTTCCCATTGATTGGCAAAATCAGGATGTAGGATCCATGGATTTGAGTTTAAGTCTTGGTTATGCAAAAAACAAGTTGAGCTACTTCTGGTAAGTCACTTAACCTCTCTGAGATTGACATAGACAACCAGAATTAGTGCAAGATACAAAAAGGAGATACTTGTGAAAGTTCTTAGTAAACAGGAAAGTTCTATATAAATATTCTCGTCGACATTATATTTTAATGGGTTTCCAACTTTGTTTCCTGAAACAAGGCAAAATCAATGGACATTCCTTTAGCTTGTAACTATAATATTTGCACATTCAAATTTTTTCTATAACTTGAGAAAGAAAATTCTGACCAAAACAACTTAACAAACGACTTTAGTGCTTGACACTGGAAATAAATGTTCATAAAGTCAATCACTGCAGCATGTAACTCAATTCACATCTCTGCTGCTTAAAGCTGAATTAGTATAGAAAGAATATCTGTTTGCAGAATGGAAGTGAAGATCAGAGGAAAATGGGCCCAAGTGTAAATTGTGTTTATAAAGTTTATCTGCCACCAAACTATATCTGAGCTTCAACTAAAATTTACAGCACTCTCGGTTATACCATCTCATCAGTGCTTCAAGCCACACTGGGTATTCTTATCTTTGTGTGCCTTATCTGATTGACCAGAGAGCACAAAGAGAAATGATGTTCTACTTCCTGCTGTCCTATCTGTCTGAGCTAAAAGTGTCTAGCCCAAGGCTGTCACCACAAGTGAGCCCAGACATTTGTCAAAAACACTGCAGTGCCTTTATTGTGGAAAGCTATCCTGATGAGTGCCTCCTGAAATCATCTTCAAGGGGTTCATAATCTTTTGATAAAGAATTTTTGGAACATCAGCCTATCAAGAAAAGTAAATGGAAGCACACAGTTCTCAGGGAATAACAGGTGCAAAGTCAAACATCATGAAATGCAGATTGCGAATGCAGACATAATAGCAGCATTTGTAAAGGTAGGCTAAGAGAGGTGGTGAAGGTGAAGTTTGCAAATAGGGATAAAAAAGCACCCTGAATATTGTTCATGTTAAACAAAGCTCTTGACATGTCTTTTATACCTTTCAATGATTCCTTCTCACTCTCACAATTCAAGCTGAAAGCCCACACAAAGCATCATCTATAGAACATTCACATTAGACCAGGCAGTGGGGAGACTGTTGGGAACATTCAGTGTTTGTGGCTGACCTCTTCCACCTCTCACACATCTTCCCTATGTGCAAATCCATCCATCTAAAGTTCCACAACAATGCACTGATCTTTCTTTTTCTCTTTCTTTACTAGTACATGTTCACAGTACATAATGATTACATTCGTTGTGGGGAGTTGGTACAGGTACATAACACATCTTCATTATTAACCTCTTCCTCTCTCTATCGTCCCTCTCCCACCTCCATTCCACTAATCTTTCTGTTTATTCCACTTTGCTGTCTTCTCACCTTCTTCTTCTTCTTTTGAAATCCTTAGTTTTCAGGGCTTTTCACAAAGGCACTGATTTATAGAGTCTTTGATAAATTCTTTATCTCTCTATGATCAATTGACTAATAATAAATTAATATAAGTAAGTAAAAGAATTCATTGAGAAGAGCACCATAAATGCAGGAATGGTGAGCTTTGGAGACACACAGAGAACTCACATTAAATTGTTCACTTGCATAGAAAGCACCCTCTTTCTCCTCCACTGCTATAGTTTAGATCTTCAGCATCTCCAACAGGCTTATATGTTAAAGGCCTGGTCACCAGCTTGTTGGGGCAGTGGAAGGTGGTGGAATGTTTAGGAGGTGGTGCCTACCGGCGGGAGGTGAGGTCATTGGGGGAAACACTTCTGAAGGAGACATATAGACTCTAGACCCTCCTATTCCTCTCTCATCAGCTTCTGGGCTGTCTTGAGGTGAGCAGCTTCCTCTAGCACATCCTCCTGCCATACTGTGTTGCCTCACTACAGGTTTAGGAGCAATAAGATCATCCAACCATGTGCTAGGAACTCTATAACTGTGGGACAAGGTAAATCTTTCCTCTTTATAAGTTTGTCAGAGCCTGTTACGATAGCTGAAGACTGACTAATACACTATCCTTTTGTCCTAGGATTACTACATCCCAGGTTTGGTCCCACTGGCAGATGAGTCACTCATGCCAGGGCCCATGGCACTGCTGACAATTAGGGTAGAGGAACCAAGAAAGTGAAGATAAATTCATGAGACTTGAAATCTGTTCATGATCTAGTTATGAAAAGCCAGGTGAAAAATAAATACTGTCATCAACAAATGTGCCTCAATTCTAAAAAAAATACACAGAGGTGTATTTACTACACAGTAGAAATCACCCCAGAGGGAAAGACTTTGGCCTGTGATGACCACTGAAGTGCATTTCCTTTTTCTTTTCATGTCCTGAGGGGCTTGATATCCTGAACCCTTATCTAATCATAAGGGTGAACTTAAAAGAGAAAGCAACCCATTAAAAAGACATCACTTGCAGTTGAGATTTGAATTTGTTATTCATTTTCAATTTTCTCTTGAGCAATATCTATTTGGAAATAATGAATAATTAATATTAACATTTAAATGTATATTCTTAAAACATGTTGAAATTATGTTTCAGTTGTCTTTTCTATTCCCTCATAATTTACATTGTTTAACTATCTTTAACCCTGGGAATTAGAAGCTTATAGCATATTTTAAGCTCTTATTATTCACTAGACTTCCCTACAAGGGTTAGTTGATAGGGTTTTTTTTTTTTTTTTTACTCATTTTTGTGATTTCCAATTGTAGTGGGAAAAGTGCCTACAAATATTGCCAATGAGTCAGAAACTGCACACTGCACATTCCTTGGTAAATCAGTGAGAAGCCAAGTTCTCAGGGAACATAACCATTTGAAAAACAGTTTCTGTGAAAGAATACAAAACCATGTTTGCTGGGATTTACTTTGCTTTTTGCATTGGGTGAGAAATTGTCCTTAGTAACAGTAAGCTTTGTCTGTCCACTTAGTAGCTCCTGACAAAGTTTACTTTTCTTTTCTACAAAAATCGTATTAGGCATGCTGACAAGCTCTAGAGTTTTGTTTTATAATGGACAGGGGGAAACTTGTGGTGCTTCAAGGAAAGCTTGGGCAAGGGAAAACCTGAAACTGTGGCCTTTAACTTTGATTAGTAAGGCAGCTATGTTCACCACTATACCACCAACACTAACTTTGATTTGGATTCTCTCTCCCCTGACTTTTTCAACCCTTCAATTGTATTTCATCAGCAGATGGAGGTAGCTGTTTATGTAGTCAATAAACAGAATTAAACATATAAACAAAGCCGGAATGTATCAAGGCCGCTAGGTAGCTTTTGCATTTCCAGAAGGATGGTGAACAAGGCTTGGGGACTTTGTGCTTCAAATATCATTTCCACTTACCCAGGAGAATGGCCCCAAGAGAGACCCACACTATATCCTGCATTGGCAATACTGAATGCGCTTTCAAAGCTGCCTCCTCTGTTCTGGAAGCCACACCTTTCTGAGGCTTTCCTTGCCAAGAAGGGTTCTTCATGCTTCCTTTTTTTCATTACTACCTTAATCACTTTCCTCATCAATGGAACAAAATATCCAACACCTGCAAAGTAAGGAGGAGAGGTTTATTTTAGCCCACATTCCAGAAGTTTCTGTCTTGGAGTGTTTGGTGGCATGGTGAACAGGCCCGGGTGGAGGAAAGCTCACATCATGGTGTCCAGGAAGCAGGGAGAAAAAGGAGGAGTCGGGAAGAGAGATATATCCTTCCAGGCTATACCACCTCCATGCTGCCACTCCTGAACAGGCCCCCTCATACCAGCAAGTCAGCTATGTGTCCCTACACTCAGGCCTCTTTCACAAGTGCAGCCTGTGAATACATAATGTTCTTGGGGATATCTTGGTATAAGGCATAACACAAATTTATGTCCTGGCTTGTATTACTTAAAATCAATTATGCCACAACAGCAAAAAGTTTGAAAAAAATAATTTCTAATAGAAACCATTGGGATCTGCACACACTTGAAGTAGAAAACATCACAATGCAAGCATATTCAATGGCACTAGACTGCCAAAAACAATGGCAACGGTCCACTCCCTTGGCTCTTGGCAGGGCTGGAGTGCCAGAATCCTGACCGAGTGGCAATAAGAGCTAACATCCTAGGTCCGGAAGAAGAAAAGGCTCAGGATAGGATGCTGTGTTTCTATTCAACTCCCATACTCTTATTGATCTTTCACCACTTGATTTTGATTTATTTGCTGAATACATTTAAGAAGAATACTTACATCTCTAGTGCAAGCCATAAATCTGCCTGGAGTTTCTCCGATTCCACTTTCACCTGGCAGCAGCTCATTTCCACATACCAGCCAGACTCTGCTCTTTATAACATAAATCTAATGATGTAATTTCTGGATTTAAATTTTTCCAATGACTGCCTAAACATCTTACCACAGCCTATGGGAATCTACAGGAACTGGCCTTGCCTAGACTTTTTAAAGTCATCTTTAAGACCATCATTCCCCTTACCAACTTTCCTCAGTACCTCTGATCCTCCTCCAGCAGAGGTAATCTTGTTCCAAATACTTGCATTTGGTATTTTCCCCATCTGAAATACTCTTCCCTTGAATGGCCATATGGTAGATCGTTTTCAATATTCAGGTCTCGGATCATTGGCTATTTCCTCAGAGAAACCTTCCCTCACCACCCTGTCTATATTAAAGGTCCCCAAATAACTCTTTATAAAATTCTCTTTCAAAAATCATTGTTCTTATCAACATCTAAATCATTGTATTGATCTATTTACCATGCTGTTTATTTTCTGCTTGTTCTACTAAACTAACGTGTATGTTCATTCCTACGTCACCATGTAGAGAGCTGTGACCAGACCATCAACAATCTTTTTATGCTGTGTGCCAAGCTTCCAAGTTCCGGGCTCAATTCCTTCTACTCTCTGCCTAATTTCAGGTTTCCCTTTGCTCTACTTCTCTGCAACCTGAGTTCCTTGTCATGTATGCGAGCAGATGGGATCTCCCACTTTTCTGAAGCAGATGGCATTGTCCATGGTTAGTGTAGGTAGGGCTTCGGTAGCCTTGGAGTTGAGCACATGGTCAGACTTCTCTGGGCTGTTGCATTCAGGAGAAACTGACCGGGAAAACGGATAAGAGAGAATATATTATCAGGTGAGCTGGTAGTCAAGTGAGTAAAGAGGTGCCAAAAGTAGCTATAGGTTGATAACAAACACCAGTTGATTTATTATCTGGTTAGGTCCTAACCTCAGCATCATTCCTTTTGATGAGTTCAGCAGAGAGAAACAGATGGGGCAAGGCATACAAACCAGATCTCTCATCTCTGGTCTGTTTCTTTTTTTTTTTGGTACATTTTAGGTATACAGTACAGTTACATTCATTATTGGAATCTGGTCTATTTCTTAAAGATACAAAGACACTAGGATTAAGTTAAACATTCCTAAACTTGTTAACACTGATTGTTAACTGCTTGTTAACAGCATTCCAGCATTCAAGCTTATCCAAATGGAATAGGGGCATGTGTAATCTTGAATTTTCCCCATGATGTCTAAGTGATCTTTGCTTTCTTGGCTACAGTTTTGAAACAACAATGGTATTCTCTGTCCTCAGGCAAAGCCCTGCTTCACTTGAGTTTCCTCTTGACCTTTAGCTAAACTGACTAGTCAGCTGAAGTGGACATGCTCTTTAACAGACGACAGGCATTAAATGAGCTTGTCCTCAAACAACAAACAAGCATCCACTGAGAATCCTTCATCACAGACTTTGACCTGAACGTCATGATAGGTTAGGTAATAGTTTTCCATCTACTTTCTTTTTAGTCATCAGAATATCCACATAATCACTTGCATTTCACTCTCCCAGTGGAGACATAGCCCTGACACTGTCCACTGTGGTTTGTATTAGCTCTCCCTCTGCAGTGGTGTTATCTATCTCAATGCATCCTCAGCTGTCCCGTCAGAGGAATTACCCCATAGGTCTTATTTAGCTCTAATTTGATGAAGAGCAAAATCTCTCTTGCTCTCTCCTCCCATAAAGAGTAACCTACCTCTTACCCTCTAATCTGAGGAATCACCAGGTGCCAGGACCAATGAATGTCAGGAAATTTGTTGATGGTCAGGGAGGTGCTCACATTCTTGATCCATCCATTCTACTCTTAGTCCTCTGTCTCTGAAGATTTTTGCACTGGTCTGTCCAAAGCATTCTTCCCCTCCCAGTGGTGACTGTCACGTAAGTTTCTGCTTCTGTCTCTACACCCCTAGGGGCAGTATTACCCTACTGTTCCTCTTTGGAGAGAGAAGGAATAGACCTTTGGACATGCTGTCTGTCACTTAGATAAAACTGCATTATTGGCTCTACTTTGATGTGAGCTGGTGGAAGGAAAGATCCCTTCACGCCTGGATCAAGTGAGAAAGAAGAGGGGAAGAGAATACAGAGAAGCCACCAAGCCACCAGATTATTGCTTGGAGTTATAGAATGAGCACACAGTTTCAAATAAGAAAAATTACTTGAGATACCAATGCCAACGAAGGAGATTTAGTTAGAGAAGAAAAGACTTTCCTATGGAACAGAAAGGCTACAATATTCAGGGGGACCTCAAGAATCTCCATGACCTAAGGATGCAAGCTCAATTTGGAACTTTTTCTGCCTCTTGTTTCTTGTCCACATGTCTGCTGCATCTTTTTCACTCTTTGACTCTTATTCCTCTGTCACTTCTAGGTCTTTCTCTCTTTCTGGTACTTACTGGAGCTCTTAGCCCTATTCTAGCTTTCTGCCTTTACTAGCTTCCTCTGTTCTGAGATCCACATGGAAGAAACTCAAGCACAAATACTTCCTGAGTGTACCCATTACAGGTCCAGCCACCTAATTTTCCAAGGTGAGGACTTTGACAAGTCCACCCTTGAACTGATAAATGCAGGAGGAGCAAGATTAATGTTACCCGCACATTCTAAAAAGCCATCCCTGAGATAAACGTGAAAAGTCAGAGAGTGGGAAAGCAAGCAATGAGAGATGAGCAGAACTTGTAGCACAATCATTGCCGACTGTGTCCTTTACTTGCAATGCATGGCAAATTATCTTCCTAATTTATGAATGAATTTGTGAACATCATACCAGTTGCTGAATGGTTTTTGTCTCACTTGAAAATAGACTAAAAGTAGGCTCACAAAAAGTTTTAAATTTAACAGTATATAATAGAGACTTTCAGGAATTTACATCAGCTATATTTAACTAAATGGAGGGTCTCGCTCTTGTCATTTCAATAGTGTAATAATTGTTGGTGCTCTGCATGCTTGCCCACAAGATTAAGTGCTTTATTCTACATATTTAACAGATGGAGAGCTCTATGCACTTGCTATAATTCTCATGTTACCAAGCCAGATGGGAATAAGGGAATTACAAAATAACAATGTATGAAGTAAATATCAATTTTGTTCCCACTTTTATGTTAATTTTAGGACCCAAATTTTTCTGTTTTTCCTCCTTTTCTGTCTTTCCTGAGGTACCTACTCCAATAATCCATATATTGTGACAACATGTATGTACTTCACAATGCAAAGAAGATAGCATTTGCTTAATGAATTCTTGAAGTGAATTGAATATACGTTAAATCAGTGCAAAATATCACAGGAATGGTCTTGATGTTATCTTCTTTATGGAATGAGTAGAACCGAGGTGAGCTTTTAAGCATACATCAAAATATATTGGAAATCCTTCGTGGATATTAATGTTTAGTATTGTCTTTGCAACTCTGGGCTGTGATCTTTTTTTCAAAATGATCACAGTTGCAGTTCCTGAGAGAAGTACTAAAAATATTCTGCTCCATACACGTTTTTTTTTTTTTTTTGGTGTTACTGATGGTATATATGTCTTTGATAGACACAATAGCCTATCTGCTATTTTGAGAATATTCTGAGGATCATTGGGGAGGGTATGGACTATTAATTCTAGAAGCACTTCTGAAGTACATTCTCTTTAACAAATATTGCATAATTCCAATAAATAAAAAGCTAAAATGAATGTTTATGATAGGAAAATGTTTTTCTATTCACTCCTAGTATACATTTTATACTTTTTCAAGACTCATAACAATTAAGAGAGGGAATCTACATTTAAACTGATGATTTGTTCACTGTTCCTGTTTCCAAATGATCCTTGTTCTCCTATTCCTTCTATAATCTTGAGTGCAGTTTCAAAAGTGAAATCTGCTCCCCAGTCTCTTAGTTATTTTTTCTCATTTTAAAATAACTTAAACTAGGATTTACATGTACTAGCGGTAAGCAGCGTTTTTCTTTTCTGGTTTTTAGCTGAAATTCTTAGCATTCCTTTCTGGTGGTAAGGATGAAGGAATATTTTTAACAAAAAAATCAAGTAAGATTTTTAAAATGAGGAGTGTTTTATGAGAATTGATTCACTGTTCTCTCTATATTCACAATTGTCTGAAACCAAGTGCTGAAGATGTGGCCACTATCTTGTTCATCTGATAACTGTAAAAACCAGTGTGGTGATAATGATATATAAGAAGGTTTCTGAAGGTAAAATGTACTTCACTCGAGTATGACAATTAATGAAG